CAAAACTGCAAACAAACTTCATCTGCTAACCTGGGAGAACATAAACTGCAATTACTGACTCAGGAGAACTCATAATTATCTTTTACCAGGAAAAAAAATCGAGTTATTTAAATTCTTTTCACAGTTTAGTTAAAGGAACCAATTAAAAAAAAAAATCAACCAATTTTGTTTTAAAGGGACCAAACTTTTAAATGGCCTTTTGTAATAAAGAATTTTGTATGTGTGTATGCATATAATGTCTTTGTAATTCCATGATAAGGAGGAAAACATTCAATATATTTTACCAGTCTATTCCTTAAAGTATGCCATTAAAAACTAAGCATCATCCAAGTAAAAATAAGAGAAACAGAAGTGCCCTTGGAAGCAATTAAGGTTTTTGGAGTTTGCAAGACTTACAATATACAATATTGTTCAAATATAAATGTCCATTGTACTATTTCAAGAAATTAAGCTAACTTCTGCCAATGACCCCTTGTTTCACTGGTGTAAAGCCTTTTAGAACCTTTATTACTCCCCTTTACAAGACAGAGAAACCAACTCCAAACATATTTCTTTTGATACATCTTATTAAGTTTCTTCATCTTCTGAAATAAAAGAAATAGTTTATGTAATCCACTGTACTTGGACTTTATCATTGGATTTCAGAATTTGTTGCAACTAATGACATGTAACACAGCAGAAGCAGGGAACAATAAAGTATAAATTCAGGAGTTTATTCTCAAAACCCATTAACATAAACATAGGCATTTGCCAAACAAATCTTGAAATTGCTACAAACCAAACAGGAAACTATCTTGGATACTCAAATGTCAGTATTTTGTGCTGCCACTGCTCAACCTGAGACTTCAGAACAACATCAGCTTTTAACTAGTACAAATCTGTTTAGTTACCAGGAGGAAATGTTGACTAGCTACAAAAATTAAGAAAGTAGAAAGAATCTGGGCTTGTCTTCACTACCGGGGTAAGTCGACCTAAGTTACGCTACTTCAGCTATGTGAATAAAATAGCTGGAGTTGACGTAGCTAAGGTTGATTTACCCCGGCTTCTTCGAAGGGAGACGCTCTCCGCTTGACTTACCTTACTCTTCTCGGGGAGCTGGAGTACCGGAGTCGAATGGAGAGCACTCTGCTGTCGATTTAGCGGGTCTTCATTAGACCTGCTAAATCGACATCCACATCGATCTCCCTGGTAATGAAGACAAGCCCAGATTCTCAGCAGAGGCAAGAACTCAAGCAGCTCCTTTAACATAGAAGGGAGTGAGAAAGAAAAGTACAACAGAAGCTTAAGTGGCTCTTCCGTTGGGATCCTTGCAGTGGACAGCTGAAAGCCTTTCAGATGCAATCCGACTGAGAGTCACCACTGAACATTTGTGCTACTAGTACAATATCTAGTAGATTAAACTAAACTGGAAAAAGGCACTCTTATTCTGGAATAAGAGTATCCACACATGAAGTTGCATATGAATAGATACTGTGCTTTAAATTCACACTGTACCTTAATCCAAATTTATTTTCAAGCATAGACAAGCCTTAAGATTGTAACCAGCTACATGAGACATGCTTGGGGGGGGGGGGGGGGAAGCTATTTGTGGTTTAACACTAAAAAAAAAAGAAGAAGCTAAACAATGCTCTAACAGAACCTTTGACTTAACTGTCATTACAAAGGAAAGTTCATAACTAAGATTGTCACCGTAAAATAATTGATAAATAATAAAAAACAAAAGCACACACAAAAACCCCAACACAATTAAAGATTTTTTTTTCCTTCTGAAAATGAGAGATTTCAAATTTGGAAGGCTTTCCCCACAAGAAGCTCAAACCTGGGCCTAAATTTTGTTTAAAAAAATTATAAATAAAAGAACTGCAAGTACAAATTAAATACTAAATACATATGGCATTTTTATGTTAACATTGCAAGAAAGCAGCAACAAGCAATCACACTTTTCAAAGTGGAAGACACAAAAATATAAAAAAGGAAAGACCACACACTTACCAAACCTTGAGAAAGTATGTGCAGAGCTGGCTCTATCATCGTCCAAATTGGCCATTTCAAACTGATGCAGCTAATCATAAACGTCTCAGGCTAAACTACAGCAATTTTCAAAACTGTCCAGTGAGGGTTAGAAGCAATTAGCATTAAATTAGAGAAAGCAGTGTTAGCAGAGTTATTAACATGATGCACTGGACAATCAAGGGGATAATTAAGGTTATTTATTATTTATGTTTTCCCTTTTATACCCTAAAAATTGGTTTTCTTGTGCCTTAATTTTAATAAACAATCTTTAACCAAGTAACAGGACCTAGATTTACATAATCTTCCCATACTGAATAGTATAAAGAAGTAATATTACTTTATTTTGCAGTAAAATTCCTGGTTACTTTATAACAATGCTTTGAATATTTGCCCTATGACCTGATCCTGCATCACTGAAGTCAATGGGAGTTTTGCCACTGATATCAATATGTGCAGAATAAAGCCCATACATATTCTTCTCCAGGATTAAATAAATCCTTGATCCATGGGCAGCACTGAACTACTGGCTTGGAGAGGCTAGCCCCCCGCCCACGGCTTCTGCCCAAGGCCCCACCTGCCCATTGCCCCCGCCCGAGCCCAGAGCACCCCCACGGCCACCAGCCCCCCCACTGTCCTTCACCACTGGGCAACATGAGCACCGGCTCCAGTTGCCTGGAGCCCTGGGCCTTGGCCGGTCCCCCCTCCGCCCCCTCTAGCCCTAGCCCCAGCCCCAGCTTGGGACCCGGCCACAGGGGAAGAGCCAGAGAGCACGGTCGGGAAACAAGAGAGGACCCGGGGGCTGACCATGGGGAGGCTCAGCCTCCCCTGGCCTGTGATACCCGCCACCCATGCCTTGATCCAAAAGAAAAGCATTTCTTCTTCCATTAATAGTAAAGATGCAATGTTTGTGCTAAAACAAAGCAAGTAATACACAGATAAACAGTTATTGTAACCCAGTAATCTTTAGGCTATAAATAAACTACAGGTTGGTTTCCTTCTGCAGTACTATACCATGATTAAAATGCGGAGAATAGTAATTATTTGAATTGGTGTCTCTTATTTTGGTGGGTAAACACACAAAAACAAGCTAGTTTTCATAACTGGTGTTGAAAACTATGCCCTGATCCTGCAGACGAATCTGTGCAGGCAACCCTCTTACACATGTATGAAATCCTGCTGGGGTCACTGAGGCTCTGTACAGGTCAGATTACAGGACTGGCCTATTACTGTATTATTTGCAGTACATTCCTACTAATACAGTTGTAATCAATCATATTGATTGATTTAATTCATTGGTACTTATAAGTTTTTGTTGGCAAAAATTCATTTTGATACTTTTAACGTGTAATTGGAGTATGTACAGGTAGGTGTCTGCAGGACTGGGGCCTAAATGATATTTTATTTACTATGGGATACTGTAAAATGTGAGTCTCATACTTGTGATTGTAAACTTGAGTCACACTTACTAAGTTTTGCACTGAACATTCCATTTAAAAATGTAATTTGTGTAAACAATTTTTAATTTCCTTTTATATAAGCAAAAGTAGTTACATTTATTTCATAGTCAAGTATATGGTTAAATATGCATTTTCCTTTTAGATAGGAAGATTGACTGTAAAATTATGCTAGGTTAAAAACTGTCTTGCACATTTTGTAAGTTTAATTAAGTAGTACTGTGTGGTCAGCATTAAAAGTTGAATTCTTCTAATAACTATCTGAATGATACTACAAATATAGAGCTACAAACAAGCTTTTACAAAACCTAACTTTATGGGTCACATTGCAGTGACAGCTTCCCTTTAAGGGAAGCAATTTTTAGAGTGTAACAAGTCACTACAAATTATTTTGTGTTTATGGCAGTGGTTCTCGTACCATTGTGGGCCGCATCAAATACTACCTGTATGGCCCTGAGGATGTCACATGGGCTGCAGCCCTGTGCTGTCTGGGCTGCAAGTGGCCCACAGACCACGCGTTGAGAACCACTGGTTTATGGCAATAAATTGTTAAGTAAACCAAGGATTTTCATCTCAGGGGAGTGGAATTTAAGTCTAATCTGTGGTTCTCAGCAAAATTAGACAAAAGATCATGATTTTGATGCAAGAATATATTAGTGGTTTCAGAATAAATTACTGTTCAACAGCTTGTCAAACACAATGATGTGTGAAGCAAACCAGTTTCATTTACATGTGCTGAGCTGAACTTTATTGAAATTTAAATGTCTCATTAAACTCATGAATTTAAAATGTCTCAGCAAAGTTATGCATCAACAGAGTAGCAGATTTTTTAAATGACCTTAAAATTAATCCAAAATAATTTATTTCCAAACGAATGAGATCGGTTACAGTTTTTGTTTTTTACTGTGCAAGGTGTGAGGATGAAAAAAGAAACAAAAAGGTTAAGGCTTTAGAAAGGGATCTAAATTTGCGCTACAGGTAGGGGGTCCTACATCTCTGTCAGTTATTGTGAAAACAAGGACAGATGTAGTTTAATGGGGAAGTGCACCACGGGGCTAGAGAATGCGAGTTACCATAGCCCTGAACAAGCCTCAAATTTTCTCTCAGACTTTATCAGCGTTAGGTAAGAAGATGAGACGAAAACCGTGCAGAAGCAGCAACACTTGTGACTTCAACTCCACCGTGGCAGCTGCCCTTTGAGTGACCTGCGAAGCTGCCGGGGGCCCAAGCAAGCCAGAAATAGTGACAGCCACAGCTGAGGTGGAGAGTGGGGGGAGAGCGGGGCTCGTTTGAGAGAGGTGAGAAGAACAAGGCGAGCCCCATTCTCTCAGCGAGGGCGCAAGCAAACAGATCCCCGCAGCCCCCTCCCCATCCAGGCAAAGGGGTCAGACCTGAGCGCTTAAACCGGGCTCGCAGCTCCAACATCCTCCAGCTCACGTCTGCCAGATGCGACGCCATTGCGCGGAAGAACCACCACTACTACTACTCCCCTCCCCTCGCGCCTGCTCCACCGGGAAGAGGCCGACGCGATAGCACGACTCTGTCCGCTGTTGTTCCCCTGACCGGCCGTAAACACGCCCGTGACGCTGTCGCAAACGCGTCTGTTCAGTCAGTCCGGAAGTGAAGGGGGGATTGTGACGGCCCCTCCCCCCCGCTGCCGTAAGTGATGCTGGCGGCGGTCGCGGCAGACTGTGAGGGGGTTGGAGGTGCTGGAGGATGGGGCGCTGCTACCTGTTTGGTCTGTGCTTGCTCCTCGGGCTGCTGAGGGCTGGCCGGGGGCTGCAGAACGTCACCGCCCAGCTCTTCGGGGCCGAGGCCTTCGGGACCCTGGCGGCCTTCGGGGACTTTAACTCGGATAAGCAGACGGACCTGTTCGTGCTGAGGGGCGGTAAGTGCGGGAGGGGCTGGGCCCCTGGGGGACTGGAGCGCCCCCAGCCTCTAGGGGTAATGGCGTAGGTGGGGTGAGGCTGCCCCCTTAGCAGCGGAGATGGGGCACAGTCCACTGGTTACGGAAACGGCTTGAATGCCATGGCTCGTCTCTTCTCTTCTCATACCGGACCTACCTCTGCGGTCTCTGAGCCCCTTAGCTGAGGAATGGTGCACCCCATATGGGCAGGCCCATGAATTACGTTTATATAACGTAATAAGGGAGTAAGTAGTGGATGTAACTCTTAAATATTAATAGTCTTGATAGTAACACAAGTTAATTCCTAATTGTATCTATGATCACAAAATAAGGTGTGAGTGTTAACAAGTCCTTCGGCCAAGGGCTTCTCATCTCTGTGAAACAATATTGACATTTTTGTCAGAGGGAGGCTTTGGGACAATATTGTATTATCAGTGGCTTATAGTCTAAAGTATGACAGGTTTCAGAGTGGCAGCCGTGTTAGTCTGTATCCGCAAAAAGAACAGGAGTACTTGTGGCACCTTAGAGACTACTCTCCTGTTCTTTTTGTAGTCTAAAGTATGTCATTTAATAGTCAGAGCCTTACCCCTCAATCAGCATTATACTGAAGATGCCTGTAACAAAAATTGAAGTAATGTTATGTCTTCTAGGGGAATTAGCTCAAGTGGTAGAGTGCTTGTTTAGCATGCGAGAGGCAACAGGAACAATGCCCATGTTCTGTGGGCAAATATAGTGCCCATCTATAAAAAGGGAAATAAGGACAAAACAGGGAATTACAGATCAGTCAGTTTAACTTCAGTACCCAGAAAGATAATGGGGCAAATAATTAAGCAATTTGCCAATATCTAGAAGATCGTAAGGTGATAAGTAACCGTCAGTATGGATTTGTCAAGAACAAATCATGTCAAGCCAATCTAATAGCTTTCTTTGACAGGGTAGCAAGCCTTGTGGATAGGGGGGAAGCGGTAGATGTGGTATATCTTGACTTTAGTAAGGCTTTTGATACGGTTTCACGTGACCTTCTCAGAAACAAACTAGGGTAATACAATCTAGATAGAGCTACAGTGGGTGCATAATTGGTTGCAAAACAGTTCTCAGAGAGTAGTTACCAGTGGTTCACAGTCAAGCCTGAAGGACATATTGAGTGGGGGGTCCTGCAGGGATCAGTTCTGAGTCTGGTTCTGTTCAATATCTTCATCAAGGATTTAGATAATGGCATAGAGAGTATACGTACAAAGTTTGTGGCTGATACCATGCTGTGTGGCGTTTCAAGTGCTTTGAAGGGTAGGATTAAAATTCAAAATGATCTGGACAAACTGGAGAAATGGTCTGAAGTAACTAGGATGAAATTCAATAAAGCCAAATGCAAAGTTCTCCACTTAGGATGGAACAATCAGTTGCACACATACAAAATGGGAAATGACTGCCTAAAAAGGTGTACTGCAGAAAGGGATCTGGGGGTTCATAGTGGATCACAAGCCAAATATAAGTCAACAGTGTAACGCTGTTGCAAAAAAAGCAAATATCGTTCTGGGATGTATTAGCAGGAGTGTTGTAAGCAAGACACAAAAAGTAATTCTTCCATTCTACTCCACACTGATTAGGCCTCAACTGGAGTATTGTGTCCAGTTCTGGGTGCCACGTTTCAGGAAAGATGTGGACAAATTGGAGAAAGTCCAGAGAAGAGCAACAAAAATGATGAAAGGTCTAGAAAACATGACCTGTGAGGGAAGATTGAAAAGAATTGTGTTTTTTTAGACTGGAGAAGAGAAGGCTAAGGGGGGACATAACATTTTTCAAGTACATAAAAGGTTGTTACAAGGAGTAGGGAGAAAAATTGTTCTCTTTAACCTCTAAGGGTAGGACAAGAACAATAGGCTTAAATTGCAGCAAGGGAGGTTTAGGTTGGACAGTAGGAAAAACTTCCTAACTGTCAGGGAGGTTAAGCTCTGGAATAAATTTCCTAGGGAGGTTGTGGAATCTCCATCATTGGAGATTTTTTAAGCAGAACTTTGGAGCGGAGCTGGAGCACGGAGCAGCTCCAGAGCAGTGGAGCTGCAGGTTTTTGCCTGGAGCTGGAGCGGAGCCAGAGCACAGCTCCAAAGCCCTGTTTAAAAGCAGGTTAGACAAACACCTGTCAGTGATGGTCTATATCACTGGACTAGATGACCTCTCAAGGTCCGTTTCAGTCCTACGATTCTGTGACTTTCCTAAGGTGTAGGAGAAATCTCAAGCAGTGATAATTTTTGTCTTGCTCCTCTGAGGCTTGACACCGTTTACAGCATCTTTCTTGAAAGAACACACATGCTTAAGAATTTTAAAATATTATTTAATACTGTAAGATCATTTTAATTTATTTTTAAATAAACTTAATGATTGTGAAATGAACTAAATATCTAACTGTGAAGACAGAAAATATGCAACATGGGTTGTGGAAGTGCAAGCTTACTTATTGGTCTTGCTAATACACCTTTACCCCCATATAACGTGACCCGATATAACACGAATTTGGCTATAACACGGTAAAGCAATGCTCTGGGGGGGGGAGGGGGCTGCGCACGCCGGTGGATCAAAGCAATTTCGATATTATGCGGTTTCACCTATAACGCGGTAAGATTTTTTGGCTCCCGAGGACAGCGTTATATCAAGGTAGAGGTGTATATCATCCTATTGTGGGAAGAAGCATCTCTGAGGATTGTAGGGTAAATCACTTTCCATTCAGATTTAGCCTTTTCAGACTACCCTGGGATTCTAGTCTAACCAAACTCTTGGTGTCAAATTGTATAATAACTTATGATAGGAAAGTCCACCTGCTGGGGTTAAATCTCATTTAGGCCACATAGCTGCCAAATTGTAACAATATCCAATCACTACTGCAGATTTACATCAGAATCAAACCACTGAAGTTGAGATAAAAGACTTGTTTTCGTGCTAAAAAAGGAAATTGGGAAATCCTGGATACATTAGAAATGGCAAAATACATAGTTTTCTAATCAAATTTCAGTGCTTTTTGCAGATGCCAAACTGCCATGTTAAAAATGGAAGTTTTTGTCCTTCACAGCTATAAGATATTTACACTGAAAATGACTGGAGTTGTGTTCTGCTCATTCAACTTTTCAGAAAATTGTTCCCAAATATACAATAGCAGCAGCAAAGGTGTGAATTAATTTTGAAGTTTAGTTGGATTGTTTAAATGTTAGCAGTCCTAAACATGGCTGTATGGAAGTACTCAGCTGGAATATGCAGTGAACAAATTTTATTTTAGAGTTAAAAGGAATACTGATAATTGTGTGATTATATTAGAAGATATTTGATGTTTGGCTCATTATTTTTCAGATATATGTATGTACACATTAAGGTTTTACATAGGATGACTAACTTACGGTTGCTTTTGCACAGCAGAATTGCATATACATGTTCCTCTTTTCTGGTTTGGCATTATATGAAAAAGTCCATCTAAAATAAATAAGTATTGCTATTTCCAATTGGATTATTTGAATTATCTGAACTTTAGATTTCATTGACACAAGGCTTGCAAAATACTAAAATAACACAGCTTTTTTTTGCTAATAGTTATCTGAAGACCAATACAAAGAGGGGGTTGGTGGGCAGGCTGCTACACATTGGAGGTACTGTAACATTAGAGCTCCAGGAGCAGTGCCAGCTCTAATCATTCTCAGGGTACTTTTGGCAGCCAAGTGTTGCTTCTAGAATACTGTCTTTGGACCCTATTGAGTGTCCATTTTCTAGATTAGTTTTAGACTAGAGTGACTGTATGATACCTTGATTCCCACTCCCCAAGATATCTGAAAGGAGAAAGAACTTTCTCTTACACCAGAGCTAAACATAAAAGCTGGCGATATCTGTATCCTACTGGTGGTTTTTTGTTTTTGTTTTTTTAACTCCAGCTTTCAAGTTCTATCGTCAGAATAGAGAAGAAGTCTAGCTGCTCCTACTGCATCAAGAATATCTAGATCCCAAAGTATACTGGTGCAACAGCACTGGAAAACCCAAAATTAGCACTTCTATCTAGCCAATTTTCACACCCAACACCTCTAATTCTACTGCAGAAATAGAGAAAAAATCTAGCTTCTTCCAGTATGTCAAATCCAGACCCTGGTGCAGCAGTACCACAAAAACCCCGAACAGTCACCTGGATCCTTCTGAATCCAGGCAGTTTTTGCCCCTGTAGTTCCACTAACTAATTGGAAAACCCAGGATAGCTGCTCTGATTCTGCTACAAAAACCTGGATCAAACATCTGGATGTGACTGGAGCAAGAATGTAGGGGTTTTTGGAGCTAAGTTCACTTCAATTTGAAATGCAGCTCACAGTGCCATGGTGAAAAAAATATTCCCCTTCTACCTCTTTTGAAGCAGAAGGAAATGAGACTTAGTTAGTCACCTTTGAATATTCTTTTTCGTTAGCTAGGAGGAGCAATTATATTTGGAGGTGCAAACAGTCTCAACCATACCTTGTTAAATATTATTTTCATTCTCATAAAACCATTGTCTAATAGGGTTTATTCATTAATTTAATGCTATTTATATGCTTCCTTTTCAGGCAATGAATTACTTATCTTTCTGGCAGACCAAAAGGAGCCGTATTTTAAACCCAAAGTCAAGTTGTCAGTGTAAGTATTGATACATAATATCTTAATGATGATGTAATGGAAACATTCATTTCGGTTAAGACTGACTAAATTGGAAGCAAGATTCAGTGGGAGCATGATTAGGATTCTTTCTGGGTTGTTTTTTTGTCTGTTTAACTACATGATTCAGTTTCTCCATAGAATTCAAGCTTAAACTTGAAAGATGAGCTTGCTGAATCATGTCATGAAAGGCCATTTGGTATTTTTTGTACTTGCCTAGATTTTATGCATCCTCTGAGAGAAGGTGGGGAAATAAGAACTTTGTAATCTATAGGGTTTATGTTTAGTTAGATACATTTCCCTTTGTTTTAGGAGGAAAAGCAAAAAAAAAAAAAGATGGAACAATCTCAGCTTCACTTATTTAATGTAGAATATGGGCCTGATTTCCAGTTCCTGTGCAAATGCCCACCCACTGTTTGCACAGAAAACTGAATATCCTTATTTACATCTTTCATATGTGCATGTGTGTGTGTAACTGTATATGAGTTTGAACAAACTGAGTACTCATGCACAGAATAGGCACACCTTTGCACATGTCAACACATGAGTACAGGTGCACTGACATTCAAACTTCTCATTTAGAAACAAGGCCCAGATACTCAATGAACAATGTGTGTGTGGACCAAAAGAACGACAGCAGAAAACAAAAGATAATATGGGAGAAGGAATAAGACACAGCAAAGGAGAAAAGATAGGGCTTTCTGAAGTCCCAATCTACAGCTCTGGTCCCTACTGTGTAGACATCATGTTTTATGATCTAGCTACTGGGATCAAACTAGAAGGTTTCCTTGTGTCTAAAATAGAGCTTTTAAGGGCCTGCAGTGATAAGTTGCTATGGTATGGAACTAGTAAGGTTTTGCAAGTACTGGGGAGTGTGAGAAGAGTGTATAAGATAGGGTTGGAGAATGTCTGCCAAAACTTAGGGCTAAAACTTTCATCCTACAAAATTTAATGTAATATTAACCATTTCAAAAAGAAAATACATTATTAGTCTATGGATGTACAATATTTTAGGGGCCCACAGATTTTAATCACACATCCATTTGCACATTTAAATGTTTAATTTTATAATTGTAGAAATCAGGGTGTCATAACCAGTGTGGTTCCTGGAGATTATGATGGTGATTCACAAATGGAC